CATGCATGTACACACGCACACTTTACATACGCGCACTAAACACACACGCACAAACACACATACACACACGCAGGTGAAGTTGCATGTGGACAACCGGCACTTTTACGGGCTGCTGATCAACCCGGACGGCTTCAACGCAAACTCGGTGCACCCCGACGTGTTTTTGCTTGCAGGCAACGAGCAGCACTGGCGCGACCTGTACATCCACCCAGACTACGAGCCCTACAAGAAGCTCGAGTTTGTGCAGGGCCGCTGCTGGGACATTTACAACTTCCCACTCTTCTCTGAACTCTTCTGCGCACACTTTATCGACGTCTCCGAAGCCGTCGGCACATGGTACGTGTGTTTGTGTGTGTGTGTGTGTGTGTGTGTGTGTGTGTGTGTGTGTGCTTTTGTGTTTTTGCTTTGTTGCGATTGCACACGTGCATATGTGTACACAGTGACGTTGTTTCCTCCACCCTGCTACCCTCTGCTTGCCTTATCGCCATATCGTCACCTGTTCTACCCCACACATCTGTTGTCCCCCACCCCTCCCAGGTCCTCTGGCAGCAACTCGGACGACCGCCTCAAGAGCGGATATGAGCCCGTCCCAACGCGCGACATCCACTTCAACCAGATGGGCTTCCAGGAGACGTGGTGCGTTTGCTGGGACGAGTCGGGTACTTAGAAAGAGAGGGGGATGGATTGCGGTCAGCAACAATGTCAGAATGATCTCCAGCATGGTCGTGCACGCACACACACACACACACACACACACACACACACACACACACACACACACACACACACACACACACACACACACACACACACACACACACAGATGTACTCTCTTTCCTCGCCCGCTCTCAACCCCCCCCCCCACCTTTCTCTCACAGGACGGCCATCCTGCGGCGGTTTGTGGCGCCCGTGGCGGAGACGCAGTGGGTTGGATACAAGCTGGACGGGAGGGTGACGCTCGACTTTGTCGTCAAGTACCAGCCAGAGGGGCAGCCGTTCCTGCGCAAGCACCACGACGCGTCCACGTTCAGCCTCAACGTGGCGCTCAACCGGATTGGCGAGGACTTTGAAGGCGGCGGCACGCGGTTCACGCGCCAAAACTGCACCGTGCTCACCAACAAGATGGGGCACGCGCTCATCCACCCGGGCCGCCTCACGCACCAGCACGAAGGGCTCTACGTCACAAAGGGGACCCGTTACATTATTGTCTCCTTTGTCGACCAGGTCTAAGCGAGCATGGTGGTGGTGGTGGCGACGGTGAGAGGGAGGGGTGATGCTGCGTTTGTTTGTTGTGTTTGTTACTTTTGTGGCTGTGCACTGTGGTGGCCGCGTGCATGCCGCGTGCATGCGACAAGCTTCCGGGGTGGCGCGATTGCTTGCTGATGAGAAGCTTGGTTGGCTGGCTGGCTGGCTGGCTGGTTCTGTTGGTTGGAGGATGGAAATGAACGCCACCAATCCAAAAGAAGCACGACCAGCTCAGAGGATGTGGTTCGACACCATAAACTGTAGTCCAATATCTGCTGGTGGTGTGTGAGAGAACGATGGCGCATCAGACGACCGACCCAACAAACCCTGAGCGATGGGTGGTGGTGTACCCGGCATACATCGACTCTGAGAAGACCATTGCACAAGGCCGTCGCATTCCAAAGGAGAAGGTTGTCTGTGTGTCTGTGTCTGTCTGTGTCTGTGTCTGCGCATGAGCACTCGCTCTTGTCTTTTGCTCTCGCTGCACTTCTCGCCCAACAACAGCTCACGCTCTTGCTTTCGTCTATCCCTCCACAGGCCGTTGACAAGCCAGACATCCGCGACATTATCCGTGCAGTGTCGTCCGATGACTTTCAGTTGCCAGCCAAAGTGGAGGTGTGTTTGTGTGGATCGGTGTGCGCACCTGTGTGTGTGTCTGTGTGTGTGTGTGTGTGTCTGCGTGTGTCTCGCTCCCTCCCCCTCCCTCTCTATCTCTCTCTTTCTGTGATTGACTGCCAGCCTCTGCACACACACACACACACCTGTGGCTGTCGCTTTAACGTGCACAATGCCTTCCTGCGCTCGCTCCTCACCGTCGCGCGTGCTGTCACTCTCAACTTCATTGCGCCTGTAGAACAAAGCGTACTGCCGTGACTACTTGACGCGCGGCCGTCTCCGCGCACAGCTCAAGAACGCAGATGGCTCCTTGGTGAACCCCGAGTTTCCAGATCGTGAGTGCGAGATGCGCCTGTGCGTGTGTGTGTGTGTGTGTGCGTGTGTGTGTGTGTGTGTGTGTGTGTGTGTGTGTGTGTGTGTGTGTGTGTGTGTGTGTGTGTGTGTGTGCATGTGCGCGTGCGCGTGCATGTGCGTGTGCTTTTGTCGGATGGTGTCCCTTTGGAACCCACACGCACCTATCGCTGTCGTCTACCAGAACCCTCCTCATTCTCTTTTGCGTTCCCCATTGCACACTCGCCTTCACCAACACCCCTCCCTTCCGCCCTCGTCATATGCAGGCAAGGCGTTGTACTGCTACTTGGCAGACAAGATCAAGCACTCTGAGGAGCGCAAGCTGCAGAAAGAGGTGCGTCCATAAATCACGATGTGTTGTCGCTGGTAGATTGTGATGCACACCACCACAAGTCATCGTCGCACTGGCCACTGTTTCAAACACACACATACACTCACACACTCACTCAATCACACACACTCACTCTGATTCACTCACACACACACACACTCTCTCTCTCTCTCTCTCTCTCTCGCTCTCACACACAAACACACACACTCACTCACACGCGTGCAGAAGGAAGCGAGGGAAGAGGCAAAGGCAAAGGCGAAAGCAGCAAGCAAGGCGAGCAAAGCCGCAGAGCCGAGACACGATAAGCGGCAGGGGCGACGCGGCCGCAAGAAGAGATAAACTGCACATGCACGGTGTCAAGGTCTTGTTACAAATACGCCTCTGTGTACATGTGTGTGTGTACGCGCATGTGTGTCTGTGTGTCTGTAGGAGAATGTGTCGGTGTCGATGCATGTGTACACACATTCCCCCTCTCCCTCCCCCCTCTCGCTGTCGCTCTGTGTGTGTGTGTGCGTCCACCTGATCGCTGATTCTTCAAAGTTGCCTCACACACCCCCGCCATGTGTTGGGCTGCTTGATTCGCTGTTGTGGTTCAATACAAGATGATGACAACCAATAATCGATTGCCGCCTCCTTCCCCCTTCAAACTCTTCCATGACGGTACAGCCGCCCTCACAGCAACACCATAAGCACACGGAAGAAAACCAAAGTATGTGGCAAAGTTGTAACACAGGAGTGCGAACGACAAGCTTGCGCGCACGTGCGCGTGTGTCTGTTCGGGTATCTCCTCTCGAAAGCCACGTCTTTCTCAACAAACTAATACACAAACACACGCACACACGCACACGCACGCACACACACACACACACACACACACGCACGCACACGCACGCACGCACGCACAACTGTCTCTGGGTTCGTAGTCCCACGGAACCACTGTAGGACTCTGTGTTTTTGTGCCAATCCACCACATCATCATCACTTGTTCATGACGTGGGTGGTGATGAATTGGTCCTGGTCCTGAATCACACGCTCCAAGCTGTCTTGCTCCACTTGCAGTCTGTACAGCAGCGATTCGTACGCGTGTGTGAGAATGCGTTGGAGCGCATGCGTGTGCATGAAGAAAGCATGCGCACACGTATGCACACACATACACGCACGCACACACACACGCACATGTACACACACGCACAAGCACACAAACAAGCACACAAACACACGCGTACGCACCTCTCGAGCTCTGCGCGCTTCTCTGCAATCATGGCTTGGAGCAGCTGTTCCTCAGATTGTCGCTTCTTGCTGAGGGAGTCCACCGCTGCCCGCGCGCCAATTGCCTTCATCTTCTCGTCGTCCACAGCCTTTGCCAACCGGTCCACAAGCTCAACAAACCCGCCCATGACCGTGTGGAACGAGTTGATCTCTGCACGCGATTGAGCGTGTGTGCAAGTGTGCGTGAATGAGAGGGTGTGTGAATGAGGGTGTCAGCGTGAGAGTAGAGTGTGTGAGGGAGTGAGGGAGTGAGAGCGTGTGTGAAAGAGAGAGAGAGAGAGAGAGAGTGTGTGTGTGTGTGTGTGTGTGTGTGTGTGTGGAAGTGTGTGTGTGTGGAAGTGTGTGTGTGTGAGTGAGTGAGTGAGTGGATGTGTGTGTATGTATCAGCTTGCGTGTGTGTGTGTGTGTGTGTGTGTGTGCACGATTCATATGAAACGACCCATCAGCTTGCGTCTTGCGTGTGTGTGTGTGTGTATGTGTGTGTGTGTGTGTGTACGATTCATATGAAACGACCCAGCACAGCGATGACGAGCAACGCAACAGAACCGGCGCAGCCGAAACAGAGTGCACCCGCTACCCACAAGACTCACTCTCCAAAAAGGTTCTGCATTCTTCGCCAAGCTCCTCTGTTTGCTGCAGTTTCCAAGCAACAACAGCAAGGACAATAACAGCAAGGACATCAGCAGCAAGGACATCAGCAGCATGTCAATTGCAACAGACATCCAACGTCAACCCATGCGCACATCACCACCGCAGCAACAGTACAGCACACCTCACCTCGTGTTTCTCTGGGTCCAAGACGCGGATCTTCGACAGTTCATCAAACTGCATCCCCGCTACCGTCACCGGCGTGTTCTCCTCGTCCATGGTGGTGTTGTGTCCCTACCTCACGTCGCTGCTGTGGATAGCACGCCAGCCACTCACGTCATGCACTCGCTCAGTTTGGCTTGCTCGCTTGCTTGTTGGCTCAGCAGCTGCTTGTTGTTTGTCGTCGCCAACCAACCAACCACCGTTTGATTTGAGGCGTCGTTGTCGACAGCATGAAATGAAACCGGCACTTGTAGAAAAATTGTGTATGTTTTGTAGCAAAGAGCGTGAAGTGCCAAATCCGCCGTATCGCCCATTTCCGAGCAATCACACACAGACGAAGCAGCAACAACCAACAGAGCACCACAGAGCACACAGAGCG